TATATATATATATAATGATAATAATAATAAGTATTAAATTAAAAAAATATAAAATATTTAATTTTATTTATTTCATTAATTTGTTATTTTAAATTAACAAATACACTTAAAATTAACAACACTATAATATTAATATAATATAAAAAATATTACTCATACAATAAATTAAAATATATAGTTATATATAAAATATAAATTGATAATTTATCTAATAATTTAATTTTTTATTTATGTAAATATTTACGAATTATTAAATTTCAAATGTATGTTAATAACTATAATTAAAGTATTAAAAATTTTAATTATTTTTTAATAATAATTATATTTTATTTGCGTAAAGATATCTTATATTTAATAAATAAAATCATAGTAAACACATAAAATTAATAACAAAAATTAATACTCACAAAATTTGTTGAATCATCTAAAAAAAATTATTATATTTAAAAAAGTAAATAAATAGTTATTGTAAAATTTATAGATAAAAAATATTTATATTATAAAATTTAAGGATGCAAAAAAATAACATATAAATATAGTAAAAATTAATAAAATTTATATTTAAATTAAAATAACTTATATTTCTAAACTTTTATTTTAATAAAAAAATATGTAATAAAACTTAATATATATATATATATATATATATATATATATTTATAATGACAATAATAATAACTATTAAATTAAAAAATAATTAAAAAATATTTTATTTTATTTATTTTATTAATTTTTATTTTAAATTAACAAATATACGTAAAATTAACTATATTATAATATTAATATAATATAAAAAATATTACTGATATAATATAATAAAATATATATACATATATTATAAATTAATTAATAATTTAATTTTTTATTATACTTTTTTTGTAAATATTTATTAATTATTAAATTTTAATTGTATATTAACAACTATATTTTTTTAAAAAAATTTATTTACATCTGTGTTAAATTTGTAAAAAATAATTACTTAAAATTTGACATATTTATATTTAGGTACGTGTGTTATGTTGTGTATCTAGTATGTAAAAATTTTTTATAAAGAATTTTACTCAAAAAATTTATAGTAATAAAAACAAAATACATATTAAGTTACAAAAAGTATATATTATTATATATAATTTATTTAAAATTATATTATTTATATTATTTACTATATGGTCCTATTATATATATATATATATATATATATATATATATATATTTTGTATATGAAATTTTTTATTTTATTTTTCTATTATTTTTTATAAAATTTTAGTTTCGAATAAAATATAATTCTTATTTACAGAATTTTTATTTATTTTAAAGAAAAATAATTAAATATAATATATTAATACAATAATTAAATAGTAATAATAATAAAATTAGGAATATAAAAAATATATTAATATAATATTATTATTTCGTTTTTTAATTTTATTTCGTTCAATTTTGATTACGTCTTGTTCCTGTTCTAAGATTTAACCACTCTTTAACTTATTTAAATGTAACAAATATTATAATTTATTATTAAATAAATTTATTATTTAAAAAGTGTAATCCTGTATAAATAATATAATTTCTATTTATTATAATTATAAATAAAAAGAATTATAACATAATATATTAATTTAATATAATAAAATTAAAAATATATTATTAAATAACTTTATTATTTAAATATATTTTGATAGTTGTATTTTTAAATTATATATATATATATATATATATATATATATAGACCAGCTTGTCAGGCTTAATAGGCTTTGAAAACAGTTTAAGCCTGATTTATTTACTTAAACAAGCCTTAAAAAAAGTCTAAGCCTTGTTTGTTTACTAACAAGGCCAAGCCAGGCTTAAAATAGGTGAGGCCAAGCCTAAACTAGGCTAGGTTACATACCCCTGTCAAGCGGCTTGGCCTAATTCTATCTCTAACAATGGATAAAGTACTCATTGGGTATTCTGCAAAATTTACCTTTAATAGGAGGGTATTTACCCGTTAAACAAATACGGGTATGAGTACCTAAGTACCCACCCTACCTATACCTGCATATACATACATATATATATATATATATATATATATATATATATATAATTTTAATTCAAAAGCCCATGATGAGAGAGAATTAGGGTTACTACTTAATACTTTATATATTTGACTAGGTTTTCTCTATAGTTATTGGCAATTATGTTATCATATGAGTTTCTCCACAACTAACCCTATCGAGAGTTGTGTTTTAAGAGTGTTACTTACAAAGAAATATCTAACATATCACATTTTATAAAATTCAGAGATCAAGTCCAACAACTTTTGTATAAAGATAAATCTTCAACAAGTAAGTCATCTATCCTCTGAGGAGAAGTTTGGTTTCAAACAGGAGAAGTACGCCATGCTAATGTGCCTTGGATGATCCACATCTCAGGGTCAGGAGCCGATAAGTACATTGAACTATCCATGTGGCTAAGAGCCCTCACAGTCCAGACATAACGACGCAATTATCAAGAGCGCACTCTACCACTGAGCTAATAAAGTATATTTATAGATTTGGGATCTAATTGAATTGTAGAAATATGATAATCTTCTTTATGAATTATAAGAAATAAGGAATCTAATTCACTTTTAATTTTTAGAAAATTTTTGTGGATGCTTTTGAAAAAAATTTGATCAAGATAAAGATTTTACTATTTATTTTATGTAATTTTATGTCTTATATTTTTTACTCAGTTCAGAGTTCTTTTATAGGCATAATTATTTTATTCTTTTGAATCGATAAATTTTCTATTTTAAAATTTTGAGTAATATTATCTTTCAATTTATAGTTCCCTGTTTTTAAAATTTTTTCAATGTAAAATAAAAGGTTGAAATTTTAATATAAATATTTATGTTACTCAAATAAAAGAATGAATATTTAAAGATATAAAAATCTATCTAATTAAATTTGTTTTATATGATTAACATAAAAATATATTTATCAATAAAGTAAATCACAAAAATAATTTTTTTTATATTTTTAATGGAAAAATTTATTTATTATTTTATATAATTTAACTAAGCTAATAAATTTTAATTATTATATAGTTGATATAAAACTTAATTCTTGTTATGTACTTGTATGTTTTAGCTTCTATTGGTATTGCTGGATCAAAGCAATATGTAAACCTAAAAAATAAGCGTTTATTTGGAGAATCTGATTTTGATAAAAAGGTAAAATAGATTAACTATATTTATTATTTTGACTTTATAATAAATAATTAATTAATGTTCTTTCTTTCTTTAGATCTTTGAGGGTTACAGTACATTTTCAAGTTTATAAGTTAGTTGTTTTAGACATCTTGTAGATTTTTTGTATTATTATACTATTTACGTGAAGTTATATAAACAAATTATTTTTATAAGTATTTTTTTTCTTGGACAAACATGAATAATATGTACGGGTATGAATATACAAATACCTAGAGAATATAGGTATGTGGATTAAAGTTACTACTCACACGAGTGTGTGGCTAGATACAAATATTTTTTTAAAACGTGAGTATGAAGAATACTATAATACCTTATCCATTACCATTCTGGACAACGAGAGTGCACACTAGGCTATTAATGAGATTGATAATAATGACCTGTGTTGATGATTTGGATGATAACAGTGTTGAAGACCATAATTAAATAGCAAGACTGCTTTTGACTACCAAAATTTACCTCAGAAGGAATATTTTTAAATATACCATTAACTAGAGATGGAAATAGACCAGACTTAGGCTTATTAGAATGACTTATTTAAAACTCATAAAATTTATAGTAATATATTAAATAATTTTAAATAAAAATTGTAATATAATATTATATTAAATAAAATAAATTTTTAAATAGATAGAATTTTAAATTAGAAACCCTAATTCTTTCCTTTTACTAGTGCATAATATTTCTTTATTGTTATGCTATAGCTTTATATTCTTTAGAACATTTTAGATGCTAATTAAAATTAAAAATATATTTTAATAAAAAATTTATATTTAATATTATCACAAATTATTGTTAAAAAATAAACATAAATTTATTATTACCCCTTTTAAAATAGTTTTTTTTCAAAAGTATTCTTTTTTAAATATTAATTAAATTAATAATAATATTTAAATAAATAAATATTAAATAAAGAGTAAAAATAACATATAAAAATAGACACTCTCAAAAAATAATAATAAGAAAAAATAAATTACATCTATGATCTATAGAACTATTATTTTAATTGCATATATTTTTGTCTACTAGATAAATGAGTTTCTTAAAAAAATGGTAATTTAGACATTTAAAATTTGTTTAAATAATATTTTAAAGAGAGGAGAAAAAAAAAGGGGAGAATTAATTATATATATTTAGTTTTATTTTTTTCTATATTCACATTATTCTTAAATATTATCTCTTACGATTAATTTTTAGTTAATTATAATAATTTTTTTTACATTAATATGTATTTTATTATTTTTTATCTATTATAGTATTATATATATATAATGCATGTACTTTTTAACGTTTACATATTTTTAATGAGATATTATGTATATTAATTACACTTTATATATTTGTCTAATCATTATTAGTTATTATTATTTATTTTATGATAATACAAAAAATTTAAGTTTTACTTTTTTTATCTTTATAATTTATTATGATATTTTATATTTATAATTCTTTTAAAAATTATTTTTTTCGCTTGATCTGTTGGTGTTGTTTTATGTGATTTTGATCTTTGAAATAGATATCATATCATACGTCAATTATTTTATACGGTTTTATTTTGTAATTTTTATAATATATTTTAAATATTTATACAAGGTTACCGTATAACAACTTCATTTTTTATTTTTTGAATTTAAAGTTTACTTTTAAAATCTTAATTTTAAAATTTATAGTTATTAATATATATTGATATTTATTTATTTATTTATATTATATCATAAAAATATTATTTTAAAATTATTTAATGTTTATTATTTTGATACATTATAAAATTAAATTTAAATTATTTTAAAAATTATTTAATATTTGTCCATGAATATATGGAGCAGGAAGATGACAGACGGAAAGAAAAGAAAGGAAAGTGCTTGAAAATACTAAGCGTATTTACTAATCTTGAAAGAAACTTGAGACTAGAGTCCACTATCTCCCACAACCCATTCCCCCACTTTCATATACTTGAAGAGGTAATACAGAGGATCAAAGAAACCTTGCAATACAAGCATTTCCCATTATTATACTTGCAATATTTAGTCATTTTTTTGGCTGATTATCTTCTTTCCATTAACGCCATGAAGAGGAAAAGAACTCAAACAGTGGGGTTGCTCCTGAATGATCCCAAAGCCTTAGCTGCACCTGCTCTCAAGATGAATTGGTGGTAGAAGGCTGCAATGGCAGCCCCAACAAATGGTCCTACCCAAAAGATCCACTGAAAAGACACAAGCAACAAACAAAAGTTGCCATTCTTTTAATCCTTTGTTACTAGACATAACCAATTCTAGTAATTATGAATTTGATAATAATGGTATAAAAGTAGCAAGTTGTTGAATTTAGAAAACAGTCACTCACTTGGTCATCCCAGGCTTTATCTTGGTTGTAGATAACAGCAGCTCCAAGACTCCTAGCAGGATTAATGCCAGTGCCAGTGACTGGGATGGTTGCCAAGTGAACCATAAATACAGCAAATCCAATTGGAAGTGGAGCCAAAACCTTCAAACACAGAACAAAACCACTATAAGCGCTCATGTGTTTAAATTAAAACAAAAATTTCACAAGAAGTTGTGCCAAACATGAATCCATGTGAGGCCCATGATTCGGAATTGGAAAACAATACACACTTGAGACAAATGGGGCATGCTTCCATGTGAGGCCCATGATTTCTTTTTCTTTTCTTATTCAAAAAAATATTAACTTCAGCCTTTAAATTCGGAATAAACAATTGAAAGCAATAATTTTATATTAAAAAAAGTATTTATCATCTTAGGAATAAGAAATTATAATAAATGTTATGATTTTTAATAACAAGTTATATTTAAATGTTTAAATTTAGTTCTAACAGCTGATTTTAATAAAACTATTTTATTAATTAGGAGAATCTGAGAAAGTGCTTGAAGTAACCAAAGCTGATAATGACAAATGAGGATGTTGCTGGAAACACTCAATAGATTTGCCAGCTTGGGGAAAATGACGTTAAGCATTAATGCTTGACATTTTTATGAACATTTTAGACCTTAAACACAAAGTTTCTCACTATTAGAGGCATTTTTTATTTGCAAGGCAAAAAGATGCAGATGAAAACTCTAGTAGAATCTACTTTTCTTGAAAGAGGGTAGAAATTAGATAAGGTTCGTATGATAAGGCTATGAAAATCAAATACCACCACAAAATCATATCTGGTAATGGAATCATTTTCCTCAAGTGCATGGTAACATTTCACTTCAATAAAAACCATAATGTATTTGGTAATTTTGGTGAAAGAAAAAGATAGTTTCACTGCCCATTAAGACATGATATATGCCCACAGAAAAAGGTTACCCACTTTCTTGATTTGAGGACAAAACAATTAAAGTAGTAGTAGAAAGCAAGGAAAGCCAAGCAAGAAAAGTGGAAAAATTCGTCTCCATTGAATGCTACCCGATCTATGTTATATTTTATTGCAGATGAAGTCTCAAGATAAAGTAGTGAAAAGAAGATTCAGATTCCAATATTAAAAGAAAATTAACTGGCTATTTTTAACTGTTTATGAAGGATGAACTAGTTCAGATTATTATAAATTTATTATAAAAAATAATGCCGTTATCACTATTATCTAAGCATATATGTTGACTGTACCACAACATTTTATGAAAACTGAAATTGCATGATAGCATAAGCTTTAAACCTATCGATTTCAAACGGGAAATAATTGAGTGGCAGGTTGTACAACTTGTGGTAATGAACCAAAACTCTTTCAATTGTGAAGGTCACTGAATAAGGAATATCCAATTGTTATGAATTTCTAGAATGATATCATGTCATTACCATTTCAAGAACTACAACTAATTGTCCATGAAAACAAAGAAAAATTATTAAAGCGTATTGATTACTTTAATGCAACTCTACCTAATTTCATTTAAAAAGCAAAGCTAGATGCTTGACAGTTGAGATATCTGAAATTAGCAAAGTCACTTCCACTCAACTTTATCTGTTTATGGCTGCAATAGAATAACTATATTTTTTCTTTACCAATAACCAATCTAGAATAATTTCGAGGAAAATGATTTCCAATTTAAAACCTGAAAGACCTATATAATAGGTAACTTGGCATATACTATACCATTTGCTCATTTTCAGCATAACTTATTCAAGCAACACCTGAAAGACCTAATATTCATTTTTTTCCCCCTAAGAAATGGGGCTAAAGAAGCACAAACATGACTATAATTCAATATTTAACTAAATTCTTACCGGCACATGAGAATCTCTAGCATTCCTCTTGGGGTCAGTTGCAGAGAATACAGTGTATACCAAAACAAAGGTTCCAATGATCTCAGCACCCAATCCAACACCTGTGCTGTACCCATCACTGAGCTCATTGGCTCCACCACCATACCTGTTGTAGTAAGCCTTTTGGAAGGCCTTAACCAACCCAACTCCACAAATTGCCCCCAAGCACTGAGCCACCATGTACATGATTGCTCTAATCAAAGACACCTTGCGAGCCAAGAAGAGTCCAAATGTCACTGCTGGGTTTATGTGACCCCCTGCGTTGGATTAAAAAATAAATGTCAAAAAGTTTTACAGTAAGAAATAAAATTTGCTACCAAATCATGGGTATTGGTATTTATTTGCTTTCAACCAAGAAAAACAAGGCCAACCACAACAAGAGGAAACGAAATTAAACAAGAGTGACCATTTAAATTGAAGAATATCATTTGATAAAGAACAAAATTTAAATGTAGTTCTTTTAGTACTATTTTTAATTAAAATTAAGTTTTCACTTTAATAAAATTTCAGTATTTAATGTTGTTGCAAATTACTAATTTTAATTAAAAAATAGCAGCAAAAGCAATTAAGAAACTGCAGCTAAGTTTGGTCCTATTGATAAACACACAAAAGTTAAAACGAAACCAAGCAATTGGAATTCAAACAGAGCAATTTTTTCCTGTTCAGATGCTAAGAAACGGTAACAGAAAATAGTCATGCATGTTTGGATGATAATCACTTATTTTTCAAATGCTCACTCACAAAGCCACAAAAAAATAAGCAGTTATTTCCTCAGTAAGTTTATCCAAACATGCAGAATCAATGAAATGATGCATAAGATGTTAGAAAGATGAAAAATGAGAACCCACCTGAAATTCCAGCGGTGCAGTACACAAGGATGAAGATCATGCCACCAAAGGCCCAAGCAATGCCAAGAATGCCAACCCCACCACAAACATCACCCCCAGCTTTGACATCACTCTGACTCTTATACCCAATCACAGTGAGCACTGTGATGTAAAGAAAGAGCAGTGTGGCAATGAATTCAGCTATCAAAGCCCTGTAGAAGGACCACTGAGTGAGTTCCTCAGCATCAATCAAGGGTGCTGGAGGAGGGTCATGGTAGTCCTTTGCAGAGTAGGAACCTCTCTCAGCTGTCTCAACATCGTGTTTAGCCATTGCAATCACCACCCTTTAATGATCAATCCTGTGAAAGAAAGGATCACGGAAAATCAAAGAAGGTTTAGATGTGTGTGAGAGAGAGAGAGAGGAGAAGAAGGGGTATATATGGGAGTGATGGAGTGTGGTTAGAGCATTTGATTACTGCATTTTGACACTGAAAAACAAAGGCAATAGCAATAAACTTATTGGTTTAAGTTTCGCTTTCACCGACCTTGACCTGACTTTTACTACACCATCACCTCCCTCCCACTGCCTTCTATTTTTTGCATTTGCTTCTCGTTTGTTTCTTATGTCATTTTTTCTCTCTAGAATCTTATACCAGTAAGTTTTTGCCCATTTCCCTTCCTTTTACGGGAATTAGTTTTCTCCTTCACCTTCAAATTTTAGCAAGTTGGCCATTATTTTTTTCACTTGGTCCTTTTTCTTTAAGTCTGTTTTCCTTTTATGTTTTGGTTCCTACTAAAACAAGCTACAATAAAATTTTAGATCTTTCCCCCCAACAACGTGGGCTAACTTTGGTAAATCCAGCTGAAAGCGGTGAGCTTCAAAGCTAGCTGAAAATAAAATTAAAATTATTTCATAAATTAATTCTACAACTAGTTAATTTGTATTAAATAATTTAAAAGAATATATTTTATCATATTAATAAGATATTAAAATTAATTATTACTTATTTTATTTATTTATTATTAATTAATTAATTATATAAAAATAAATTTTATCTTTATATATATTTAAACATAAAATATTTTTAAGTCATATAATATATATATATATATATATTGATTTAAAATATAGATTGTAATTCCTAAATAATTTTAAAAAAATATAAAAGAGAGAAAATAAAAGAGTGACAGAGTAAGTGATTTGATGAAAAAATATTAATAAAAAATTATTATTATAAAAATTACTGTGTAAACATTACCCTGTTGTAAAAGTTACTTGGCGTACATACGCTGAAAAAGTCATCGTTTCAATTTTGAATTTCTATGCGATCACAATAAAGAGAATTGTTAATGCTCTATTGGAAGTTACCGTTTTATTTATTTATTTATTTACAGGAGTGAAAAAAAGGAGAGGTTATTTTAAGAAAACAAAATGACATGGTTTAAAAAGTTTCATAAGAACCGTTTAAAAGGTTTCTAACGTGGCTTTTATTTGAGTCTAACGAAATTTCTCACTAAAGTAGATCTTAAGAATATTGGAGAAGACTTTCTCTGAAGGAAGAAAGGCTAAAGAGTCACTTATATATTAAATTAAATATAAAGTTAAATATTATTACGTATTAAATTTGATAAAATGACGTTTTAATACTATTTTATCTAAGATTATCTTAAAATTTGGTAAGAAAAAAAAAAGTTTCACAATAAATCAAATTAAAAGATTATGCTTATTTATAGAATATAAAATTAATAAGTACTAATAATATATAAAAAAATAAAACACATAAAAATAAAATAATAGAAAAAATAGCCATGAAGTAAAAATATTTACATGTTATTTTAATAAAATAATAAGAATAATTTATTTTTTATGTAAATTATTTAATTATAAAAATAAAAGATACTTATAGTTTAAAAAGAATTAATATTAACTTTTATACTATTTATTTTTTACAATAATTGATACAAATAATTAAAGCGATATAAATATATATTTATAATTTGATATGACTTATATTGTTATTATTTAATTTTTATTTGTATTAAACATAATATTTGATATTAATTTTTATTTAATTATATAATAATTATACGGGGAAGTAAAATTGTTGAAATTCTACATTAAAAGTTTTATATAATAAAATTAAATATAAAAAATATATGATATGATAAAACATTAAAAAATAATAATAATGTTGATTGATTCAGTTGATACAACAGGTTGATTTAATTATGTTTTAACTTGTTAGAAACAATTAACTATATTTTCAGTTATTTATGAACTGAGTCTTACGAAGCTAAATATTTTATTTGTTGTTAGATTGAACGAACTACTCAGTCAAATCAAGACTACGTTCCTATAATGTGCAAGAATTTATGAAAGCGTTTGATACTAACTATTGTGATTTTTTTTTATATATTTTAAAGGTTAATCCTATTATTTATTAATAAAATTAATAATAATAATAATGATTTCACATGTAAAAAAATATACAAATATTTTTTAATTTATAAAATACAGTAAAAATTACTTTCTCTCATATGTAGTAATTATCATAAAAATTTACATAATAATAAATTACATAAATACACATCATACACTTATTCGTAGGGTAGAATTTATTTTTTTAACGATAAAAATTAATAAAATTATTTTGCAACAAAATTATAAAATTAATAAATGTTTGTTTTATTTTGCAGGAGCTATGTGATAAAAAATCTATATTTATTGTAGAAAAAATTGAAAGTAAACAATGATGGAGAGTGCGGTGCCAACCACACAATTAAAACAAGCAGGCGGTGAAAAAGTTGTGGCTCTAAATGGCTTGGCGGTTTCGCCGTTCAACATTGGAGAATGTGAGATCCATTGTTGCAGGCTCAATCCTGTTGGTTTTATGATTGGGGAATAACAAATTCTAAATTTTCTTTTTTTTAATATATATTTACAATTTCTTTTAATAATAAAATAAAAATGGTATTATTTTCATGTTTTTAAAGTAATAATCTTTAACATTTTTTATTTAATATGTATTTAATAAAATAAAAAATTGAAAAGACATATCAAAACACAAACCCTTGCATTCACAAAGCTCATTTTCATAATTTTTCTTCATTCTATTCTAACGATAATAAAAAAAGAAATAGATGACAATGATTGGCATTTGAGGAGTACCGACTAAGCAAACTTTTTCTTTAAAAAATAAAGTGGAGACAAATTAATAAAAAGTTTATGTTTCAAAACAAAAAAATTATTATAAAAAATTAGTTAGAGGTTGAGAAATGACAATATCATTATTTAAAGAGAAAATAAAAATAAAAATCACGCATGGTCTTGTTGGCTGGCTGAGAGAGTACATGACATGATACAACAAAGAACACTAAGTGGATTATCTTAACATTATAAAATGGGTGCACTATCGTTATACTGAAGAAAACCAAATATAATGAATTAAATGCAACACGCGCATATGAATGTAATTCTAAAACAATTAAACTCAAATGCTGATCTATATTTTCAAAAATTGCTATAGGACTTTTACCCGTTAAAAAGCGTGTTGATCCTAACTAGTTTGCTTATAATTGGAGTGTCATGTTCTGTAAATCGGAGTCATTGAAATGTTAAAAAAAAATTATCATCTATAATTTCTTTTGTAAAACATCATTGTTCTTTAAAACTTACCATCTCATTTATCAATTAATTAATCTATTTATTTTTTTCCTACAAATTTTAGTTTTAATTTAATGAAAAATCGTTATAAAATAATTTTAGATAACTTATGACTCTTAGAACATTTACCTAAAATTTTTAATTTAAAAAAAATGATCAAATAGACACCAATGCTAAAATTTATAAAAGAAATTAGACCATAGATTAGGGGTGTTCAAAAACTCTAATTTTATAAATCCAATGTCAAATTTTAAACTGATTTTTTTATTAAATATATTTGTGTAATCAGTTTAGTGTCTAAATCTATTTTTTAAAATTAAATTTTTTTAGTTATTCAAATTCATATGTATAAAGCTACCTTATATTTTTATTTATTAAATTTTGATATTATATTAGTGTACAAAACTTTATTGTAATTACATTTTACTACTAATTTTTTTTTATTAATCTTAATTCTTATAATTAAAATTAAATATTTAAAATAATTAAAGATATTAAAATATAACAAATATCTTTAAATTAATTATTACTGTTATTTTTATATTTATGTTTATTTTTTAATTTTTAAAATATTATAACATAAAAATTTTATTATTATTTATATCATTAATTTTATTTTTATAGGTTTTAATTTAAATTTTTACTATATACTCCGTTTATTAAAAATAAGTTAAAAAATAATAAATATTTTATATACTTCTATAAAATATAATATATTAATAAATATTGTTAAAATATTTTTGAAATACACTAATTTAATGCAACATTTTTATCCAATAAATTAGTTTTACTTTAAAAATATAATTTACAAATATATTGAAAATTAATTTTGTGTTAAAAATTAAATTTAAAATTAGATTTAAAACTAATTCAACATAAAACTAAATTTAAAACTAATGTCAACAAAAACTAAATTTAAAACTGATTTTAAACTAAGTTTAAATTTCAAAACTATTTTTGAACAGATTAAAAAAATAAAATAAAATAATTTAAAATTTAACTCATATATTAATTTGTGTGATGGATAGATGATAAAAAGTAGAATATATCTAAATATTTATTACTTTAATAAAATATAAAAATAAAAAATATTATTAATAAATTAAAATATACTTAAATATTCTTTTGACATTTATTGTTAGTGTAATGGATTAAAATACTTCTTGTATTCATATTTTATCTTTAATAAATGTTGATGCTTAACAAATATATATATATATATATATATATATATATAATGTTATATTATTTATTATAAAATTTAAATATTTTTAAAATAATAATTTAATAATAATTAAAAAATAGTTATAGTATATTTTTAGTATATGTAAAAATGGTTTAAAACCAGTTTTAAACCAAATCCAAATTTTAAAACCAAATCTAAACTGGTTTTAGAAAAATTAAAATGGATTGGTTTATAATTCAATCCATATAATTGGATTTTAAATAGATCTAGATTGATTTTTTGAAAATCTAATCCATGAACACCTCTACTCTAGAGTTTATAACTAATTACTAACTTAAAGTTTGTTTCAAAATTAGCCTTTGGAGGAAAAGGAAGGAGAAAAGAAGACTTATTTAATCATAATATTTGTCTAAAAGATTTTATTAATTCTCTTTCTCACTCCTTCTCCTTTCTTATGTGTGTTTGCTTTTATGACCATAAGACTTAAGACTTGTGATGCCTAAGAGATTAAGTTGATCTAAGTTGTTAGACTCATTAAATGAGATGTTAGAACCAAAGGTTAGGATGACTTAGTGAAGTC